CTGCATCGCGCTGAGCGGGGCCCCCGCTAATATCCCGGAGATTAGGGAGGGCTGACTGCTGCAATTGTCCCAGGGGCCGCGGCTGGCGCCTGCCTGCATTTGGGTCCCCAGGGGGGGCTGGCTCTGCACCCTCCCAAGCCCACATTCCCTGCTTGTCACCCCCAGCACCACCCCGGCCCTGGTTCCCGCATCCCTGTGCAAAGGAACCCCCGTGGCAGGGGCGATGCCAGGGTTTATCCCACCCAGGTCCCATGCTGATGGCTCCACGGCTCGCGATGACAGCGCTACCGACAATCCCGTTACGCTCCACTGCCGACCAGAGGCCACCCCTGCGGGCTCTCTTACTGCACAGGGAGCAGCCAGACGCTCAGCATGGAAAAAAGCAGAAAATCGGGATATGGCTCCAAATCCAGCCCAGCTGGCATCCCCAGATGCATCCTGTTACCACTCAAAGTATGGGGCTAACGGAACAACAAACACTTGCCACCAAAAGCAGCAACCCTGGCCTGGCATCCCCAGCAGGGGGTCCCACCAGTGCCACCCCATCCCAACGCTCACCGGCGCTGTGGCAGGCGGCACGGTAGTCCTGGCAGCAGTCGCCCGTCCTCTCGCAGTACGAGTCGCAGTAGCAGCGAGCCTGGCGGGCGCCCGGGGCCCAGCAAGTGTTGTTCCTGCCTGGGCAGCATTGGTGCCAGCAGCTGCCTGTGGCACCCACCAGGTAGCCGGTGGCCAGCAGCCAGCCCCCGCAGAGCAGCAGGCCCCACATGGCGCCAGGTCCCCACAAACCTCCGAGTGACGGCGTTCCCCCCGCTCCGCTGTGGGACAGCTTCTGGGCGAGCAGCAAGGGCTGGAGCCCTGCCCGCGCCGCCCCTGGCTGGGCGGGGGGACAAAGCCTGTTCCCTTCTGCTCCAGCGCCCCTGGCTGGCCCGGCTCTTCCCACTACTGCCAGGGCGAGGAATTAATAAAATGAACTGGGATGGTTAATAAAACACCGTGCGTGGGACAACGCGACCCCGGAGCTGCCTGGGAGCAGCTGGGAAGGGGCACTGCTGGGTTGAAGCTGTTGCTCCCCTGGGAGCGCCGGCTCCACCTCGGAGGGCAGCAGGACTGGGGTGCAATGGGGGACCCCATCCCCAATCCCCGCCTGCCCCGCAGGAGCCACTCGCTGCCCCCTCAGCACTGCCCGGACACCAACGCAGCTGCTAAAGCCAGACTGATTTTATTCAAATTGCGAATGTAAAACAGAATAAAAAAAAAACCAAACCAACAACAACCCAAAAACCCCAACCCTCACTGGCTTCAGAGCAGGAAGCCGCAGGTAAACTGTGCCTGGGCTTTCCTCCTCCTCCTCCTTTGCTCTCCCGTGTTAAGGCTGCGTTTTTCACTGGTGACAGGGGGGAGGGGGGGCGGCCCCCCCCCGCCCCCCCCCCCCCCGGCTCCTTCGTGGGAAGTTTGGCACAAATCCAGCAGGGCTGAGCCCAGCGCAGGGCAGGGCAAGGCTCCGGCCCCACCGCCACGGTTGTGAGCGGGTCAGCATGAAGCTCTGAAAGCTACGGGATTACCTAGAGGGCCACGGCAGGGTAAGGGCAGATGGGGGGGAATGTGGCAGAAGAAGGGGTTTGCACCCCCGGCTGAGGGGCCAAGTCTGTGGCGCAGGGGCTGCACCCCCCCACCCTGGCTGGCGCACGTGTCCTGACTGTAAACGGCAAGTGATGGGGGAACCCAGCTCGCCCCAATCCCGGCCCCGCAGCGAGGAGAACTAAAGGCCTGGCTGTATGTGCAATTTTGGGCAGCGCCTGTTCAGCAGCCCAGGGCTGAGAGGGACCCAGGGGCTGGGATGCTGCATCCTGGCGGGGGCTCGGTGCTGGCAGGAAGAAGGGAGGAGGGAGCCTGGGGCCACACCAGCAGGTCACTGACCTCCCCACCCAGGGGGTGCAGGGCTGGTGGGCCCCCTGGGGACACTGTGACACCCAGTGCATTGCCCCCAGCCAGCGGTGTCAGCCCCGAGAGCCTCCGCCAGTGGCGATGCCTGGTGCACAGCTTGACCATTGCACCCACATGAGTCCAGGGGGCTCTCAGCACCCCCAAAAAAGTGCTGGTCCCCGGGCAGCTGGCAGCTCCTGGCTGCCGGAGGCCCCAGGGGCACAGGGCCACCAGCCCTGGGGGACACCTCACCCTGGATAACCTCGCAGGAGACGCAGGACCAGGGGGAAGTGGCACCAGGGGACCAGGGCGGGCATAACCGGGATGCTGGGGGTGTGGATGCTGGGATGCTGCTCCCTCCCTGCTCCCTTCAGCACACAACTTATAATTTAACCTGCTCCAGAGCCTGCTCCTAAACATAAAGGTGGCCGGGTTTGGGGGGAGGGCGTGCGCGTGGGGCAGCCTTGGCCCCGGGCAGTGCCGGTGAGCAGCTCCGGGCTTGGTCACGGCTCTCCAGCTGCAGCCCCGTGGGGCGAGGG